ATTGAGTGAGGAGGGGGAAAGAATAAAGCAGAAATCAAGATACATTTGTTATCTATTTGATCAATTTGGCTAGGAAAATCATCATCTTACATGCAAATGGCCTTAAGCTGTTAGGGTGCAATACAGATGAAGCACCAGTCTTTCAACAATGCGACCAGGCTGTTTCCAAGCACAAGATGGGGATCAAGGATCAAAAAGAAGGAATATTGTATTTTTGTAACTCTTACCTCTTGAGCTGCCATGCCAAAGGCTATTGAGGTGGAATGAAAACAGAGTTTCAATCATCAAGCTAAGCAGACAAAGTTACTAAAATGGGTACCAGTCCCACAGGCTTTGCGGGATCCACATACCAGAACTCAGACACAAGATCTTGCCATTCCCAACAGCTCACCCACAGCACTCCGCAGCTCTGGGGAATAGGCATTATCAAGAGAAGAACAAATGCATTTCACTGTGCTACACAAACCTTTGTTTCAGGGAATTTAGCAGGAGAGCAAAAGCAGAATATACACTGCAAAGGCTTGTCTTATCATAGCTGAGAAAAGAAAATCCCTCACAGCATTTACCAATACAGAAACCAAGAAACGCAGGTAAGGTTTTTCTTCACTGCTAATAGTGTATAGGAAGTGTTTTTCAAAAGTAGGCAATCTTGCTAAAAAACTATTTTCCCCATTGCCCACATTCAGAGTTATGGAAGACAGCAGAGCTAAGAGTTAAAATTTAACTAATATTCATAGGGAGATGAACGTATGTTTCAGGACAAGGCTTAGAGTAAGTCCAAGTTCAATTAGTCTGTGAATCAGTGATTCTAATAATACCTACACATCAGTTGTACAGAACTCTCTGTCAAATCACTTGATATGCCATTTGTGTAGTGCTTTGACTCATATATCAGTTTTTTTCCAGGTTTGGGTTTTTTTTCTGTAAGCTTCGGGGTCATCCAAAAAAGTAGAGAAGCTAATGTTCAAAGACAGCTTTTCCAGGTAGTATTTTAACCAGGTCTAAACATTATTTTTAAAGAGAGTCTTATGTCTGTCCCTTTATTAATATTCATTTAAATGTTACTCTGTGGCCTTGCTTTTCATGTGAGTGCTTTCCATAAGGCAAACACTTTTCAGATGAGATTTCCACCCCCCAACAATGACCTCATTTGCAGAGTCTTCTCCTCTCTTTCCCACCCATCATAGGGAAAAAAGGACTTCTCCCCTATTCTCCTCTTCTGTAGCAACTGAGCGAAGAAAAAACACAGGAAAACAGTAAAGAAGCACAGAGAAGAAAACAAGCCCCAAGCTTCGCAAGTCACAGTTCCAAAGCATGCTCTTGAATGAAGCCCATAAAACGAGGATTTTAAAGAGCTCTGTTTAACTATTGAGGATGGCTAAAAAAACCCCACACTCAGAAGACCAGTGCTGAACTACTAGGCACTACTGTAAGCTGTGTTCAGACATACTATTCTGACCCTGCTATGTTCCCCAATCCATCATTTGGGGAGTAAAAACTTGTATTTTATATTTTCCTTTCCTTTAACCACCCCTCACCCCTATGACTGCTCTTAACCTTAAGCAGTCTTTCTCTCTTCCCCATTCCCTGCTGAGCAACTCTTCCCTCTGACTGACAGTTTACTGTTTGATGCCTCAAGGTCATTTAATCTTCTCCTGTCCCAAGTCACAACCTATCAGAGTCTATAAAAAAAAAAACAAAACACCAACAACAAAACAAACCCACACACAACAAAACAAAACACAAAATCCAGAACAACAACAACAACAAAAAAAGGCAGGGTTTGTCATCTTTTCTGGTAGTTGGCTCTTCCTGGAAGGAGACAAGCTGGGACTTAATTTTCAGTATCATTTCTAAAGATCAAATATAAATGAAGTCTTGTAATGCTGTCCTGTAGAAAACCAAAAGCATCACCAATGGCATAACAGATGCCCAGGCACATACTGTTTATAGAAATTTAGATATTATCGAATTTAATAAAATTTCTTTGTGCTCATTTAGAACAAGACCTTTCATAATTAGTTTTTATGGGGTTTATATAATGAAAAACTTTTTAAAGTCCATGTAAATAACTTCCATTCACTCTGATCAAAAATCTGAAAATCATGAATGATCTGATAAGAGCTGTGTCATGGTGTAATGACTTTCTAAGCTCATGCTGAGCCGTCCTGGTCATGCTCTTGCTCTGATACAAGGCCGACAGTCAAGAAACTCACAGCAGACAACTGCAACTTTGTAAATGAGCTTCTGCCACTTGAAGTGGAAGAAAAGTATGGTCCTCCTTAGATCATGCTTTAATTTAGAGACAAAAAAAAAAAAAAAAAAAATGACACAAGATACGCCTAAATTGAAGACTATGCTGGGAGTTACTCAGACTCCTAGCACAGAAGTATGCAAGGTCTATGTGAGAAGAGATTAAGAAGATTATTTAGTAAAAGGGACATTGACTTCTCACTGATGGAAGGTTGCAGACACCTTCTGTTTACGGTTACAGTGTTTTTTTGTAATTTAAATAGTGAGCAATTCTCCAGTATACGTGATACTCTCTACTACTACTTCTGCAGTCAATTTTGTTATCTTTATTAGTGGGCCTAATAAACACAGGGCCAACACTAAACAGTCCAGCAAAGCAAGACTACTCCAGTCATCTACTGATTGCATACAAATGTGTAGGAGTTTGGTACTTCCCCCTTGCTAAGAAAAATTAATGACAAAGAAAAGAATCACAAAATTCACTTGAGAAAGGCAGCATCACTCATCCCTCAACTATTTAAAAAACCCTTCAATTTTTATTGATGTCATTCATTAGGTACTCTAACACAAATCAAAGAAGCAGTGCTGTTTTCTTGGTTCAGCACATTTTTGAAAATCTTTACAGCGGAAGTTTTGTGTAATTATTCTCAAAATAGGGTATTTTGAAGGAGTTTCACAACATATAGAAATTGGAATAATGAGTTGCATTTTCCTGTCTATCATTTCAGTTGGCATTTTGTGGAAGATGTACACGTTTAGATATTGGGTATGTCCCTTCCTTCAAGTCCAGGCTTCGATTAAGATCATTACAATTTCTCCTACCCAATGCCCAAAACAAAACACAAATGCCATCACCATCAATCTCAACAAGCTCTGTATGACAACTAACATTAATAGAATGACCTTCTCCAGTTAGATTTTCATTAGTAAATTAGGATGGAAAATTGTGAGTGGCTGATCTTAGCCAATTTGAACAAATTATCTACGTCATCCTTCATGATGTCAGTCGATACCTATGCTGAGCAAGGAAACTCAGCAATTTGGGATCTAGTACAAGACATCATTAAGCACAAAGCCAACATCCTTGGTTTTTTGACCCCTGAATTATACTAAAGGAAGCATTCTTTACAGGTAGTACAGAAAATTTAGCAAGTCTGGCTGCTGCAGAGAGTGTGCCTGCAAAGTCACAATGCATTAATTACAGACCAAATCTCAGCACTTCATATTTCCATATGCAAATGCACAGTCCCAGGCCAAGTCTGCAGTTATTTCTGTTGAGGGTTAGAGAATTAGACCATTTTAGTGAAGGGGGAGACAGCCAGAAGGCAAGTAGCAGAGCATGTGCCAATTTCCCAATATAAGCCAGGACATCATCCACATCACTTTACGCTTTCCACCCAGCTGCAGGAAAGCCTCCCAACACCTGTCTCCTACCAATGGACAGGTGCCGAACATCGCAAACTCCTCCATGCCAAATCCTCATGCTCAGATTTCTTTTTTTTTTTAACTAATTCTTCTCAAAGAGACACTAAACGTTCACTGTTCTATAACCTGTATAATAAAGAAAAGGCATTAAGGATGTGTCCCCCTCCACCCCACAATGCAACCTGCCAGCTTTCCTCTTTTGGTAGAGGAAGACAATGTTGCTGGGGATGCTCATGCCATGACAGTGGATGAGGAACACTAACATTGCATTGCTTAATCCCATCCCAGGATGACATCTGGGTCTCCTTGATTCTTCACACTTCAGATTTGCTATTTGGTCAGAAAGAGTAACAGGAACCAGAATGCTTTTGTATAACCTTTCCACTACTTACATCCACTTGCTGTAAACCCCTAACTTGTGGGGAGGAAAGGGAGGCTGTAAAAAAAGGAGAGCAGCCTTTTAGTCTCTCTGTCCTTTGTTCCCACCACAGTAAGGACCTTGCAAAAATTACAGAACTGCAAACCTTGAGAAGACAGTGTGGTGGAAAAAAGATGCTAGGTAAAAAACTGCTTTGTTCATCCCCTTGCAAGGCACAGAGCTCAATTTCCCTTAATGGCTAATGATTAATGTATGAAAACAGGACGAATAGCCAATATATCTGAAACATGAGGAATATGATCCTTTAGTTTTTCCTGGGAAGGCCAATATTTAAAAAGAAGATAAGACTTTTCCCATGACTGGATCAAAATTGATCTGTTCCAATATGAAAGACAAAGGGAAGACGCTGCACAGTGTTTGAACAGGTTTCTTCTTCAGAAGTGAGGAGAAGAATCAGCTCCATCAAATGGAATACAAAAATGGATTTTAAAAACTGAATGCTTCCTGCTTCACCACACTGCACTCATAAATTGATAGAACTGTCAATTTGTTAATAAACAATGCTGAACCATTATCCAAGAACAACATATATTTTCTTATGTACTTACAGGGCGAAAATTTTACAATAGACTAGTCTTAAGAACAGTTTGCCTACTGCAAAATTGGTTGGAAAACTCACCTACTTGCCCATTTCAACAGAAAGCAGCCACACACTCTAGCAGAAAGTCTGGCAAATACACTACGTGCATAAAAACAACAGTTGCTTAAACATTTGCCTATAGAATAAAAAGTAAAATATTCCAGGCTATATCAAAACTCATAATGTCAATTCAGATCACTGACAAAGCACATCTACAGTAAGGATGTGGAAGGACCATTTGTTAAATTGTTAGCAAGCAAACCAAGGTATCTGTGCTGTATTGGGAAGCAGTAGAAACCCTACCTGCACATTTGGTCCTTGTTGTGAGTGGTGGTCCAGGGGGCCCTGTGCCTCCTTCTCCGGGGCGAGTGAGCAGCACTCTGATCTCGTACTCCACATCAGGATCCAAATGCCACAGTTTGTAATTAGGGGAGTCTACAATGTGCGTTTCTGCCCAATTACCAGTGGTTGTCCGATACTCCACTTCTTTCAGTATGATGGGCCCATCTCCAATGATAGAGTTGGCATTGGGTTTGATCCACAGGTACGTGGCTCCGACAGCCAGCAGCTCAGGAGGGGCGATAGGAGTTGGGGGTTCTGTAGACAAAAAGAAATCATGAGGCCTGAAACAATCAAAAGGATCCAATTTCCGCTATGTATCTGTATTGCAGGACTGTCACAACATCTCTTGTTACACAGGCACAGTTTCTCCTGTCATTCACCAAATCTTTCATAAGAATTTAATCTGTTACTGAAAAGAATTTGGCTGCCTTTTTTTTTTTTTTTTCACTAGGAATTCAGCCCCTCACACTGGGGGTAGTGTTACCAATTGAGAAACACCTGCAAAAATACAGTAACAACAAAGCAACTTTTGTTTAAAATAAAACACAAAGTTAACTTTTAAAAGATCAGAAGGTTTATACTTTTTCCCTCCTTTAAGCATATGAGCAATAGCACTCAATATAATATTGGACAGTGAGGGGAGAAAGAATCTTAAATAAAGAGGACAGAGTGCACTTAGCATGTACCACGTATAAAAGGGCTGCAGTACAACAGCCCTTCCTCTGCCCTGTGACCCGACACAGCAGAATACAACAATCATTGATCATGGTGTTGTGGTTCAGCCAAAGTGTAATGCTTCACACGACACAATTAGCAATGAGTGGAAAATTCAAATCACATTTTGAGATTTTACTAAGCAAAATAAAGGTTAAAAACAGGATAGATTTTTTTAATCAAAGCACTGGCTGTGTGCCTGAGAAAATACTAGCGAATTTAAACACCAGGGATCTTCCTATGGTCAATGATATCAGCAGTCAGGATGCTGCTAAACTGACTAACTGGGGCTCTTGGTAGCTCAGAACTAAGAAAAAATTCTAAGGAAACAGTGAATCAACACCTCCTGTCATGTTCAATTGCTAAGTTGCTTAACTTCATGAGCACAGGTACTCAAGCAAAGTCTGCATGACACTCGAAGAGTGCCTAGATGTCTGAAAAGCATCATGAGGAGGCAGAAACCTGGCCGCTGAATATCGCCTCTGTGATAAAAAGAAAAGCAAACCAATAAAAGACATCTCAGCAGCACCCTTTGATGAAAGCTACAAAAAAAAACCCCAAAACTATCTACAGGGCTCTGGCTGCCTGCCTGATATTTATTTTTTTCCCCCCTCTGTGTCAGTGTATAAATAACACTTGCATATTGGAAACTGCATGAATAGTGTATGCCTTGTGGTTTTGAAAACCTGAGCTAAACTGTGCAAGATTATGAGCAGTTTCTTTAATCTCATCTAGCCTTCTCTCTGTCACAGTCTAATGTGGTTTGCCCTCAGCCCAGAGGACACAAACTCTATTCTCTTGTGAAAATAAGGTGACAAAAAGGACATCTCTGTCTCGAAAAAAAGAAACCTATAAATGTTACAGCATGACATTAATTTTAGAGTTCTGTGGGAGTTATTCTAAACCCTTCTTAAAGGCGATTCCTCAAAGAACCCAGAGAACTGGAAGAAATATGGAAGAAAGGAGTTTGAGCACCACATGATGGGAGGAAGATGGGACTTTCCCCTCTGGAGAAGTCTTGCAGGTTACCATCTGCTCAGTGAAGAGAAACAAATGCACAGAAACCATTATTATACAAAATGATCAATGGAAACATTGCTTAATTTCATTTCCTCTGGCTAACTAATAACCGTGAGCCACACTATCTCCTTGAGACTGACTGCAGGGGTTGTGCATTGTACCTCTGAAAAAAAGCAATCTGAATTGTAATTGTAGCAGGTATCCAACACGAACAAAAACTACTGTCACAAGCTACAAGTTAAGTTTTTTGTGGAATGTTTGCTTCTGCTTTTCTTTTGCACAGTTCTCATAACTCCTGACAGAATCTTTTTCTGATACGAAATGTCAGGCTAATTATGTTTTGACTTGGCAAGATTATTTTTCCAAGAAATTTGTTTTCAAGAAATGCATGTAGATATATTTTCATTAAAAATCACAAACAGTTTATTACTTGTTTCTTAGTGCAAGACAATTAAAGGATAGACTTGGTGATTTTTATTCCTAATGCGAAAATGACATCTCACAAGTCACATCATAGCTGAACACAAGACAAATGAAATATTGAACTCCATTCTCCTGGGCTGCAGACTTCAATAGCAACACGATCCAGGTTACTTTGGGATTTGATTGCAAGTTAGAAGAGCTTTATGGGACCGAGCTTAATTAATTGAGCAGTTTGTCGTGATAAACAGACATGAAAGTCTCATCTAGCAAGTTTAGAAACTACTGTTAACAAACTGATTTAAATTAAGAAGACACCCAGCATTACTGTCGTCGTTATCTGAGGCCAAGTCTAAACTCCACACACCCCCAAAAGTGATGGCTGTTTCCCCTTTCCCCCCCCCCCCATTAATTTTTCCCTTTCTAAGTACCATTTGAAAAACAAGTGCAGCAGAACATTAGAAAATTAGGAGTTTAAACTGTTTCTCCCATCTTCCAAATTTAAGAAACTAAGATAAGCAGCCATTACAACAGTTATTCAATGCTCAGTCCCACCCCACTGAAAATAATGAGCTCTTTCCTACTGGCACCAACTGGACAAATAGCAATATTTTTTTTTATCACTCTGTGCCAAATTACTGCAAGTGATCTAAACAAGTTACCCATTATTTAGCAAAACTAGCACATAAATAAGGACCATTTTTTGCCCTTTGTAACTAAACACACTTGTCAGTTACAGATGACCAGACTGATGTTATGAGCTCACTATTTTAATTAAAATCTCTATGCGACCTTGATTAAATAAACATGGTGACAGATTGGCCCTGTACACATGTAATTGTGATCAACCATATTTTAAGCCCCATTTGATCCAGACAGTATATTTTATATTGCAAGCTGTGTCGAGCCTGTTGCTCCCTTTCAGCCATTCTCCCTCCTCCTCTGGGCACAGAGGAGAAAGCCATGGGCTCCCCAGCAACAAGGGCATCTGCAACTGGAACAATATCTAGCCTGAATCCCAGACTCAGAAGGACGCAGAAAAACGTGGTTCCCAGGTGCCCTCTTTCAATGAACAAAAGGCCACTGTTAGGGCTTTGAAATGACAGAAAGTTTAGTAATGCAAAGAGTATGAGAAAACATTACTAACATGAAGGACTAAAATAGACCAAATAGAATCATGGAATATCTCCAGTTGGAAGGGACCCACAAGGATCAGAGTCAAATCCCTGCTCCTCACAGGACTACCTAAAACTACACCTTATGATTAAGACTGTCATTCAGACTCTGCTTGAACTCTGACAGGCTTGGTGCAATGAACACTATACTTTCCAACTACTGTGGAAAACGCATGTATTTTACCCTTCGGCAACTGCTCCTGAGTATTTCTACTCTGCTACTGGAATATTTCTCTATGTGATTTTCTAAGAAGTCAGTTGTAAGTAATTGTTAGACGCTGAACAAAAACGAGCTTCATGAATTCTTGCATGTATAAAACTTCTTTTATTTTTTGAAAATTCCTTCCTTGTTCACAGCAAGACAATCTGACAAAACGTACAGCCAAGGTAACCATGAACTCTCATTTGCATGTGATGGCCTATGGATGGTTTTGGACCAAAAGAACCCCTAATGCCACAAAACGCTAGTATAACACAAATTTCAACAGTTCTGTTTCTGAAATGCTAACCTGTACCTTATTTCATTACTGAACAATCATGTCAACACATGAAATATGTTAACATGACTCTCTTAAACTCTGAAATAAACTTAGGACTGAAGAGAATCAGAAAACAAAACCAGAGAGGACCCAGAAAAGGCTGTCACGCCCATTAAATAGAGGAGGAAAGCAGGTCTGCATCTGGCTGGGCCATCCAGTCTGTATCTTTTACACTGCTTGATGACCCTGTAAGCCCTTCCAAAGCATCAGCTGTGTGTGCCCCACCACAGCCAGGCCTCCAGAGCAGCAGGAGGACAGCTGTAACACGCACACAGACAGCCCTGTTTGGTTTTCTCACATATACACAACATACAGCACAGGTTCTAAAAATAAGATCAGTAGAGACACAGCATTTTTTATTCTTTGGGGGCTGAAGAGGTGGGAATGAGAGCTGCTATCAAAATACGTTTTCAAACATGATCCTGCTTACTCCCCTACTAATGGGGATTGTAAGCTTTTCCCACAGGGTCCTAAATGAGAAGCTGCGGACTGCGCTTGCCAAATGGGCAAGGATGGGACTGGAAGGCAAGGGAATGTAATTTCAAGCTTCTCAGAACTTTTTCAAGCTAAAAATACAGAACAAAACGTATCTGTATAGTTTTCTACACAACAGCCACGGAGTGTTATAACTTAAAAGCTACTGAGAATGTAGGTACTTCAATGTGCATTTATGAAGGCAAACACAACTGTTTTAAGAAAAAATGGAATCATGTTAAAATGCCTTCGTTCTTAGTTTTTGCCCCTCCATCCTTTAAGGCCAAATTTGTTACCTTTGCACAAGTGTTTTGCATACATGCAATGCATGTATTTCTGCCGTTACAGAGTCACTTCACTGTCTGAGCAGCGTCCATGAGGACCCTTTCTAGTTTTACATCACCGCAACAGCAGTCTGAGCTCTGAATGACAGCATATATATTGGCATAGCTTATTAGCACGCTTCCTACTATTGTAATAAATGCAGCAGTTGAATTTTATTTTCCAGTGATTGTCCAAACTTCCAGTCCCATTTATTGCACAAAGAAATGGCACAAGGACTTTACAATATTCAGCAGGAGACTATTTCACTGTGCTGACACTGTACTAAGTTTTTTGTCTCAAAGAGAGACATTAAGATCTGCCTCACAGTAATGTAACAGGCTGACAGCAGTGGCACATGTCAACTGTATTGGAAGAGAGTGCCAGCAGCATTAATAAAGTGATTCATTAATTCACCTGGATGGGTAAATTGTACCAGTGAGCAATACAGTCTGTCTGCTCCCAGAGAAAAGTGTCCAGAACCAATTCTGAAATCAATAATTTTGAATATTTAATTAACACCAAACTCCAGGAAAGTGAGAGAAGAGGAAGATTCAGGATTTCTACAGCCTCCAGAACAAGGAGTGGAAGT